TTTTCCCCTCTCTTTGTCTTCCCCCGCCTACCTTTGTAATTGTTTTTTTTAACCCCAAAACGAACTAGTAGCTAGCTTTTGTGAAGAAGGAACTACCAGAAATATACACTCGACAGTTGGATTCGAAATCTGAACTTCAGCACAAATGCCAAGTTTGTCTGCCACCTAAGCAACAAGGAATGGCATACTTTTCACAATTCAAACATATTATTTTCCTTTATGTTGATAAAGGACAACTTTTGAGATAAGAGCAGGAGGGTTTAAAGTTCAAAGATATTCATGCTTTATTCTTGCATTCACTTCCGTATCAGCTCGTTGATCGAGTGTGTTTGTTTTGTTGGGGTTATATCTTTGCCTGTTTTGTTTCGTTTATTTTTTGCGTTGGGTGACACTTTGAAGTGAGAAATGTATTGAAAAATTCTAACATTCAGTTACAAAGTCTATGAGACTGCATGGCATTGATACATAACTCTGTGAACGTTTGTTGGAGTTCTTTTTTTCTAATCTTTCAGGGATGTTCACACCAATATTTTTGTGTGTTTTCTTTGTTAAAAAGATAAAGACTTTAGTGTTTAAGCTTAGACATATTTTGAGTTTGAGGACTGCCTAAATCTTCAGTGGGAGAAGTGTCCACCTTTTAGCAACACTCTAAGTTGGGCAACACTCACTATTCTTGAGTCATTTTTTTTGGTCTTCGCTTTTTTATTGCAGTTGTTTTGCTGCTGTTGCTGTTGCTGCAACTGTTGCTGCAACTGTTGCTGCTGTTATTGTTGTTGCTGCTGCTGCTGCTGATGATGATGGTGGTGATTTTTTTGTTCGTTTCCTTAATGGGCCTGACGGACTCCACGAAGAAATTTTCGAGTGAGAGCTAGGCTCTTTTTCGGGTCCATTGTCAATATGCTTAGCAGACCCTCCACTCTCCAAAAAAATGATGATGATGATGATGATGATGATGATGATGATGATGATGATGATGATGATGATGATGATGATGATGATGATGATGATGATGTGCTGTTAGTTCTGCTGTTGTCTCTCGCTGAAATTGCCAGTTTTTGTAGTCATTGTTGTTTTGATTTCTGTGTTCAATTTTGTTGTGTTCAGTTATTGTACGTCGTCGTCGTCGTCATCGTTGTTGTTGTCGTTGTTGTTGTTGTTGTTGTTGTTGTTGTTGTTGTTGTTGTCGTTGTCGTCGTCGTGGTCGTTTTTATTGTTGCTGTTATGATGATGATGCTGATGAACATGTTCCACAAAACAGACTATTTGGATTTGTTTTAAAACATGATTTGGATTAAATAGAGACACAACCATACTACACCCCTTACCCAACTTCTCCTCTTTTTCTGTCCCTGTGGGTATTTGAAAAAACTATTCGAATAATCCAGGGTTTTGGATTCAAATTCAAATTCTTTTTTAACTTTCGATAAGATGAACCAATTCCAAAACCATTTTAATTCTTAGAGTCAAAATATAGGACTATGGCACTTTCCCCCTTTTTGCTTTTTGTCTTCAACCTTTGTCCATTTATTTGCTTGGGGCGGTTTTCATAAATCAGCTCTAGAGGGAGATAGCGCTAGAGAGGTAGTGAGCTGTTCTTTCTCTGGCTTTCCCTTTTTCCAACTTATGTTTGTTTTTCAAATATTTGACAAAGGATCTCAAGTGTGGAGATAATGGACTGGCAAAGAATTCTAATATGAGCTATCGAGTTTACCTGTGTTTGTGTCAACCCCTCAACAGGTTTTTCCGCTCTCCACCTCCTGATCTTAGACTGTTAGTTTTCAAAACTGAAGATAACAGCTTTTTGCCGTTATAGATCTAGTGTATTTGTCCTTCTTTATCGGTTACAGTGTCCTTTTCAGTAATAAAAACAATAGCAACACAATGACACCATAAAGACATCTATCAATATTATTACATCGTCATTGTTACTTGACGACTGTTTCAGCTCACACTATCCTCTCCCTCTTGGGGCGCTGGGGTAGATTTTTAACAGTTGGGCGTGCATGTAACATGTTCACAAGAAACACTACAAAAATATACTTGCAAAACAAAATCCAAAAAGCAAACCCAACAAAATAACAATTAGACGACGATAGAAGGGACCTGGGTTAAAAATCTCAGTTGGGTAATCTATGAGCTCAGGGTAGCAGCTGGGAGCTCGTATGTTTTATTATCAGATAGAATTTAACGTACTTCTAAATGTGGATTGTGTGGATTCTCAGACCTTTTTGGCCTAATCATATCGGAAACAGACATCTGAACGTAAGCACTGACGCAGATGGGCAAACAAGAGTTCAAACCATGTTTTCTGCGGAACTAGATCTATAGGCATAATTTGCATACACGTATTAAAATTTTATTTGCAGTCAAAACATTTGTCCAGAACGTTTAGATTTCTTTAAAAACAAAACAACCTGAAGACGTTTCATTTTTCTAGCAGTGGATGGTAATACCAAATTAACTTCAGCATTCACGTGAATGTAGTGCAAAAACATTCTTTATGATAATCATAACAATTACATTTACCTAACGCGTATCTACACTCTGTAGCAAACTTAGGTGCTTTACAACTACTACATGTATTACCAAAGCAGACCCAAGATATAGCATTGGGGGCTCTCGAGGCCTAGAGGTTAAAGTGTTGGCCTCTGACGCAATGGTCCCGGGTTCGAATCCGGGTACCGACTGAAAAGTTTTCTTCTCTAAAATTGTCTCCTTTCGCCTCTTTTCCTGCTCTCTAGCTATGTTCCGTCATCTGCTTTCGTCTGCCCTTTCTCCCCCCCCCCCCAACCTCCTTTGCTCCCTCCTCTGGGCTCCTGACTTTTTCTGCAGCCTTTGTACTGCTGTTCTTTGGCTCCTTCTTACTGCTGTCTTTCAGCCACACCCCTCATCTTCTGGTAGGAAAGATCTACACTTAGCCTTCTCGGACAAGGGCGAAAAATCTTTGAGTAAGATCCCTTGCTGATCTAAAATCGATAAGAGTAGGCTTCGGGCAAAAATTCAAAATGTCCTACCAACTAAAAAAGCTTAATTTGTCCCGCGCGCTCATATGACATAACATTCTAGGACATTCTTGACTATCCGGGAAGCATATATTGCAAGCTGCAGGTGTCATACGCTAAAACACCAACAACTGACTGGAGCTTTCGTGGTCTATAGTTCGGTACCAATTCCCTCGCGGCTGAAGTGAAGAAAATTGGTGGGGAATAAGTGGCCATCCCAAGAATGTCGGGCCTTTGACAGGATTCGAACCCACGATCTCACGGTTACGAGTCCGAGACCCTTACCACTTGACCACCGACACCAAGCGCACAACTTTAAAAAAACGTTTTTTGTATAATCATGTTCCAATTGCCGAGTGGTGAGGGATCTCAAGTTCACAAAAAAGCCAAACGTTTGTCGGTGACTTGTGGTTTAGTTGGGTGGTCTCTGGGATGTCGTTGAGAGTGAATAGAATATATATTCTTGCTA